AATTATTTTTATGTAATTCTATGTACTCATGCTAACCTTTTAATTGGCCTCTGTGCTGTTAAGTTGTACGTAAATAAGCATGAATTGAATTTAATTGAATTATGATGTTGAGCTGCCACACGAATAAATAAGAATTAATTGGGTTATTATTATTATTAACTTCTTTTTGTGTATGTATGTGTATTGTCCTTTCTCACCACATAATGGAATAACCATTCGAAATGGACTTATTTTATTTTCTCACCTGTTAATGCTAACTTTAATTTTTCTTGGAATTATTATTAATTTAATGCCATTATATACTTGTAGACTGTCATATTTGTATTTTGTCTTTTAGTTATATCTGTATTTCTATATACTCGTGCCAACTTTGTTATTGGCCTCTGGGCTGTTAAGTTTGCACATAAATAAACACGAATTGAATTGAATTATTATTACTATCCTCCAGGTTTTTACCCGGTAGAAGTGGTACTACAGTAAGATATAGCACATAACACACATCACACAAAATAACACACCACGCTAAACAAAACTACACAAACAATAAAGGCCACACTGCACAGAGTGCATACAATACAAATACAATTACAGCTACAATAATTGCACCTCGACTGGTATTTCTGCTTCCAGTAATTCTGCGTCTCGCAATTGGACTTCTGCGACCTATGCTACTAGCACTTTTACTTTTAGTAAAGTTAAACCTGTGTGAAAAGCTATCGCAATTATAAGAAGTGAACGTTACAGTATGTCAATTACATAAGTGTTGGATTTTTATTTATAGTGTGTCAGTAAAATTGATCACGTGTCCCTCAATTAAGAATCGGACTGTGGCGCCGTGTAGAACTCGTGTGAACACATCCCAGAAAACGGCATTCTTCATAAGCACCGCCGAGGAAACTTCAAATCATACAAGAATTGAACTGTTAGTGGCTGATTCACTTCACGTTGTCCTGACCTGTACAATTCTTTGACTTACACTGCGTCCACTAAGGTTTCACACGCAATTTTCTCTAAGAAACGACAGTGGATACAGAGGGTTAGCTCTGGAATTTGGGTTTTCTACAGAATTATTTTTTTTATTCGCTTAGTGGAGTCCGTCTGGGTCCACTCGACACGGCGGCCACTGATAGGCCTATTGTAGCCTGCCCCGGATGATTATGATGATGGAGAATTTGGTGGAAAATGGATTGGCAGGGGAAACCGAAGTACTCGGAGAAAAGCCGCCCCAACGCTACTTTGTCCACCACAAATCCCATTTGACCAGACCCCGGGATCGAACCCGAGCCTGCGCGGTTGGAAGCCAGCGACTAACCGCTTGAAGTATGGTGCTTTTCTACAGGTGTGGCTTCCATTGCGGCCGACTCAGATCCTAACAGTCTTCGAAAGAGCCTGCGAGCCAAACGAATATAATCGACATCCCTATCATGTTCGTTAAAATCTATTTTAATATCTATCCTCATCTACGCCTAATTCTCCCAATTTGTCTACTCCCTTCAAGTTCTCCAATGAAAACTATGTATATATGTCTCATCTCTCGCTATTTGTTACTCGTCTCTATTATATATGTCTCATCTCTCGCTATTTGTTACTCGTCTCTATGATGTTAATTCGCTGTTTCTGAACCGCAATAATATACAGATAAAATCGACGAATCATAGGCACGCATATGTACAACGTAGCACAATCAACTCTGTGCGTCTTGAGAGTGACGTGTGCTTCAGTACTCGTATGTCGACACGTGGACAATGTTACGAAACACTGATTCAGCGTGGCCATACCTCGAGTTTCTTCATGTCCTGGGCGAGCTCCAGCATGAGCCTGGTACCTCGAGTGTTGATTAGAACCGCCCGCTTTAGGGGCTCGTCGAACCGGATAGTGGCTGCAGCGTGGAAAACGATTGAGACGCGGTCGGTCAGCAGCTGCCGATTGGAAGCCGATAGCCCCAGATCCAGCATCGTCACATCTCCCGGAATACCAACCACTTTGCGGCTCAGAGTGGCGCCGTCCATCTGGGCCTTCAGCTTGCCGAACAGCTGGAAACAAGCAGCAGACACTATATATAAAATCTTGCATTGAATTAATGTGCCCACGTCAACAACCTTTCTGTAGACTAGATCAAACATGAGAATTTCTGTAGTAAAACAGCTTCTTGTTCCCTTCATGACGTATTTTTTATCTTATTTATTTATTTTAGAGCCTGGATAGCGCAGTCGGTATAGCGGCTGGCTACGGGCTAGACGATCAAGGGTTCGGAGTTCGAATCCCGGTGCGGGAAAAATTTTCACTTCTCCATGTCGTCCAGACCGGCTCTGGGGTCTACCGAACCTACCATCCAATGGGTACTGGGAAATTTTTCCCCGGGGGTAAAGCGGCCGAGGCTTGAAGCTTACCACTCACCTTCAACTACTACCGAGTCAAGACAACGTGGGTTTATACATCCACTCCCAGCTACGTCTTCATGGCATAGAGCGTAATTAGTCAAGCACAGGAACAAATTTACCTATTATTTATTTTGTATTATTTTTTATATAATGGTATTTTAAGTAACTCAATCTGTACAACGATGGGCTACTGGCTGGGCGGCCGAAGGATCGGGTCCATTTCCGGGAGGGGTAAGAGACTGGTCTCTTCTTCACGGAGTCCAAATCGGCTCCGAGACCCACAAGCTTCCTATCCAGTGGGTTCCAGAGGCTCTATCAGTCCAGGTAGCAGACACATCTGCGCGTTTCCGGAGGCTAGTTCCAGTGGTAAAAATGGCGATCGTACTTGTGGAGTTTACTACGGAAAAGCAACATTTTATTAATATTTTCTTGTGGGTTAATGCAAATGCAAAGGATATTCATAAAGAAATTAAACCTGTTTGTGGTGGAAAGTGTCCGTCGCGTAAAACGGTTCATAACTTGGTCAAGAAATTCTCTCAAGGACGTTCACAAGTCGCAGATGTTGCCCGACGAGGTATACGGAAGTGTAAGAGACAACAATCAAAAGACTTCCATGCTGCGGGCTTCGAAGCACTGATAAAGCGATGGGGCAAGTGTATCAGTGTTGATGGAGAGTATATCGAGAAGTAAATGTATTTTCCAGGCTCAAATACCACATTCTTTACGTTTTATATTTATTTGTGACCTTTTTACTGACTTTCCCCTCGTAGCTTAAGATTAATATTCCTGTCCCGACATGTTTCGACATATAAAATATTATCTTGAGAGGTATACATTTATAATCCAACAAAGAAATTATCTCAAGGTTGAGCGTGATTTTATGTTTACATTTTTTTAAATAAACCTCAGTGTTAACCTTGAGTATTTCTCTGTGGTGTTCATATACTGGAAGAAGAACTTAGCCTGACTGACTCGATGTATCTTAAGGTCGAGTTGTGCAACATTGTAATCATAGCGTTGTTTGTTATCAAGTTGCAGTCAGTTACAACATAAGTTCTTGATATAGCATAAGATTAATATAACTATCCCAACATGTTTCGGCGTCTACATACCGTGTCTCACGGTGTTGTCGCTTGCAGATTTACCTATACTTTTTCTTCAACCCTGAAGATGGGGGCGATACGTTCCTCCGAAACGTCGGTTAACACCACATATACACGGCGCCAAAGCCCAGAAGACTGCTTTCTTCAAGAATGAAACTGTCCCATTAATCTAAACCTAAAATCATGCACAGCCACATATAAGAACCTTGAGATATTTTCTATATTGTATCATGAGTATAATTCCCTGAAGATGACATTGTAGACGTCGAAACATGTTGGGACAGTAAAATTAATCTTAAGCAACATCATTAACTTATGTTGTAATTGGATGCAATATGATAATGAAGAACGCTAGGGATTACAATGCTGCATATCTCAACCCTGAAATATTTGTAGAGAAATTAACATAGAGCCTATTTTGAATCCAATAATTTGTTTCCAGTGAACCTTATGAATTTCTATGTAATTAAATAGAGAATATTTTAAAAATTCAGTGGCAATAACAGAGCGAAAGCACCAGAATTATTATGTTGTGCGTACATTTCCTTACTTGTCCTCTCCCCCCAACGGTTACTAACTCACCCCAACGGTGTTGACTAAGGAACTTTAACCTAAGAAGAAAGGTAAAGCACAGAAAATTGCAGAAATTTCCATCAGATCCATAAGAAAATTCACGGACTGAACTCGTCACAAAATACTCTCATTTTTATTATGCTGTCCTTTGCTTAAAGACCGACTTTGAGGTCTAGTGGTCAGAGTTCATGGCTACAAAACCAAGAGGTCCCGGGTTCGATTCCCAGCGCTATCAGATTTGCTGAGATGTAGTGGGTCTGGAACGAGGTCCGCTCAGTCTCATGAAGATAACTGAGGAGCTACTTGAATGGAAAAATAGCGGCTCCGGTCTAGAAAACCGAGATTAAGGGCCGTGGGGAATCCGATGCGCTGACCACGCGACACCTTTTATCCACTAAAAAGATAACACTAAAGTCGCCGACAAGGGACGGTCACTTGCGGACTAAGACCACGGAGTTTCTTTTTGTATTTTATTTAATAATCTTTCAAATTTATAAATATGAAAAATAACACAAATTTTAGAGTTGAAATTTGTAACTATCAGATATATTATTACGTCATAAAATTAGTGTATTTGATTGTTAACGGAAAGACTAGGGGTCAGCCGCTAACACCCGTTGTTATAATAGAACAAACATCGAACAACCAGTAGTACCAATAAAAATTAAGTCTATCGATAAACTATAATACAACTGCTTACACGATATTGAACACACATTGAACTGAACGACGTCTGACGAATCTCTCTGAAGAATCTCTCACTGCTCTCTACATCTCGAACTCTCTCTACTACTCTCGAATTCACGAATGCACTGCTTTTTATAACTGCCACGCGGTCGGAATAGAAGTCACCAGTTTGAACAGTTAATTGTCCTCTGCTATTCTCTGCTTTATCTGTTGCCACGAACCGTGTGTCAGTCTCGTGTAAACGCTCTGATTCCTCCAAGCGCCTTTGTTGCTACGAAATGTGTGTCAATTCGTGGCAACACTTTCATTTCTATAAGAATATTCGTTTCGATGAAACGCCCTTTAGCGAGACGTTGTCTAGCAGTGGACTATTCCGTCACAATATGTGCATTTCAATGTAGGATAGTCTGGGGCTTCAGAATTCTTACCATATCTTCGGTCTTGGCTGCTGACTTGCAGGAGTTGATACGGTAAACCCAGAATCTGTCGGCCAAGCATTTAGACAGCTTATAGCGTAACAGGGGGAGAATGGATTTTCACATGCCTTAAAATGTCTCCGCCGACAACGGTGGCCGCGCGGTCTAAGGCATGAACTGTCTTCGCTCCCTCTAAACCTGGGATCATGGGTTCGAATCCCATTGAAGGCATGGATATCGGTATTATTTGCGTTTATTCTGTGTTTGTGTTGTTCCGTGTGTATGTAGTGGCCTTGCGACGGGCTGATCCCCCGTCGAAGGTGTCCTATCGACTGTGTATAGGATCAAGAAACTGAAAAGCGACTAAGGCACAACAAAGGGCTGTAGAGCCATAAGAATAATAATTCAATTCAATTCGTGTTTATCTACGTGCAAACTTAACAGCACAGAGGCCAATTACAAAGGTAACACGAATAGAGAGAAATACACAAAAATAATTAAAAAACAAAATACAAAATATGGTAGTCTATATTAATTGCAAAGTGAGCATGAATAAAAATACAGAAACAAACACACACATACAAAGCCACGATGTGAGAATTAGAGTTTCAAATAGAGCATCAAATATTAATAATAATAATAATAATAATAATAACGAAATTAATAAAAATAATAATAATAGTAGTAGTTTAATTAATTCAGTATAAGATGTTTCATCAACAGAGTTTTTGGTCCAAAGACGTCAACATCCCTACAAACAACATTAGCAGCAGAAGTGCATCTAGCAGAGGGGCAATTTTTACTAACAGAACAGACATTGAACATAGGAAAGTCTCGGATATATCAAGCAGGGACTCGAAGGCCAACAGTTTCCAAAGCAGAAGGGCAAAGTATAGAAGCACGATAAAGTTGAAAAAGGAAGAGTGAATCAAGGTGATATCTCCTCTTATGCAAGGTGTGCAATTTCAATTTTTCTAAAGCAAAATCGTAACAGTAATCTACTTGAGGAAAAACGTTTAAAACAGAGAGCCGTAAATTTCTGCTGAATGCGTTCTCATTTGTTTGCAACAGTTGACGTAATGGAATTCCAAACTACTGAAGCATATTCAACCTTGGATCTAACTAAAGTAAAGTATAATATGAACATGCATCCAAGGGTTGAATAGTTAAAGGTGATACTGCGAATTATGCCTAGCATTTTAATACAATGTGAAAATATAGAATTAACATGATCATGAAAATGAAGTTTAGAATCAAGGTATACGCCCAGGCCTTTCACTGAATATGTTCGAGTTATAGTGAAATGAAAAATTTGTACTTGTATATCAAATAGTTAGTTTTCCTGGAGAACGTTATAACTTTGGTTTTGTTAACGTTAAGTTTCATACAGTTCGCTGCACACCACCTACGTATACAGTCAACTTCAGATTGCAGAAGATTACAATTTTCGTGAGAGCTAATAGCACGGTCAATTTTAATGTCATCTGCAAAGAGCATGTATCTGGAGTGCTTAATTGAATCACACAAGTCGTTTATGTAGACACTGAAAAGCAGAGGTCCAAGAACAGATCCTTGTGGAACACCAGACAGTACTTCAAAGGGCGATGAAATAGTTTCACCAATACGGACCCGCGACTGTCTGTTGGTTAGGTAACTGCGTATTCAGTTTACATAACCACCAAAAAATCCAAGGACACTTAGTTTGTGAAGAAGCAAGGAGTGGGGATCGAGGTCGAAAGCAGAAGTTAGGTCAAAATAAATGGCATTCACTTGACGTTGAGAGCCAACTAGGGGAGTAATAAAATGAAGATACGTTACTAGATTGGTGGTGCCGGATTTACATTTTGTGAAACCATGCTGGCAGGGATTTAAT